CAAATTCAAATCCAAGGTTGAACTACATTTTCTATTCTCTACAAATCTGTAATTCACTGGTATCAGAGGGTGGTGAAAACTGCACAGCACATCACCAGGACAGAGCTGCCATCCATGGAGGACCTTTACTCCCAGCGGCTCAGGAAGAAATCCCTACGGATTATCAAAGACCCCCATCACCCCAGACACAAACTGTTCTGTCTGTTGCCGTCTGGCAGACGTTACCGCAGCATCCTGGCAAGGACAAAAAGATTCGGAGACAGTTTCTTCCCGTGGGCAGTGAGACTGTTAAAAAATTGAACTGCTGAAACAACTTCAAAACATTCATCTGCTACTTATTATATATCTACTATCTAATATATATCATTCCAATAACTTGTATATAGACTCGTACTGCACTATTCCACATCATCACTTTATTTTAGAACTATTTTTCTTTTTGTATTGCTCTTGCTATCTGTATTATTATTATGTTGCATTGTTGGAGAAGCCTGTGACATAAGATTTTCAACGACATAATTACTCTGTAGCTATGTCAGTTTGACAATAAAGAACCTTGAACCTTGGTATCAATTTATTATAATGTATTTTTTAAATGTGTCACAGATAAAAGAAAACATAAAAACATATCTCGTTCGAATTGTAAAGAAAAATAATAATCTGCGTATATTCCATAACTCTGATAAACCACTGAATTCTCGATAGAAGCATTTCTGAATCATGACAAAGAGCACAGACACAGCAGCCATTAAATTGCACCAAAAACATGTTTTATTCTATAAAAGAAGAAGGGGGAATAATCACAACTGTACAGGGAGAAACTGACTTTGAAACACTATGAGTCACAGTATCAAAAAGCTCACGTTTTCCTCACTGATCTTTACACATTTGTTCTGTACAAATACAAAAAAAAAGAAAAAAAATATTATTAATAATTGTATTATTATAATGATAACTGCATTGCACTGAGTAAATATAGTACTGGCCCATAAGTTACTGCATTCAATAGAAAATACCTTAACATTTGTGATCTTGCAGAAGGAGCGGAGGAGCGGAGGCACTCGCAAACAGTGACGTGAGTCTCAGCGGGGATTAAATCACTATCGTTCACAGATTCCTGCTTTAACAGAAGATTTAGGAGAAAACAAGCTTGCACAAAACAACAACAGGAAGCAGGAAAAACACGACGCATGCATCAGTCTCCCTGCAGCAGCTCCAACACTGAGATATCATCATAATTCATAGTGTGAAACTGTGTGTGTTTGGGAAGAAAAGACCACATTTGCTGATATAATGGACACCAGAGCAGATCAGTGTGCTTGTAAATTATCTTTTTCAGGTATAAAAACGTGTGCTGCATGGGATCAATGTGCTCAAATTAAAGGGGAGTGGGATCCATGTAATTCAATCCTTCAATGTATAAAATCAGAAAAAGATATTTAACATATTTGAATAGTGGAAACTGGATTTCTGCATGGTGGTGTTTTGTTACTTGAAATGGAACAAACAGGTTGGATATGTTTTATATATTTTGTTACTTTTCCATAATCAAGCTGCGATGAGTCTGCAGCGTGTAAACCCGACAATCAAATCCAAAAGAAATCACAAAAACATTAATATTTTTTAGCCCTGTATGACCTGAAGTTTACTAAAGCTTGAGTTTTCTAACCCAATCCTAATATATGTCAAAATGTCACGACTGTTTTATATTTTGAATGAGGTCCAACGCAGAAAATATCAAGCTCTGTTAGTATAATAAATGGATCCCTATAATCTTTTCCTCAGGTCATCAATGTTAAGTCTCACACACTGACATGCTCACCAACGGCACTATAAGAAAACAAGAAGGCTACTCTCCATGCAACAAGTGCACAACACAAGTGGGACCAACTCTTTTTTTTTTAAGAAACTACGAAACAAACGTCTCATTTCGATTTGAAAAGAAACAACACGTGATGAAACACACTTCATCAAACCAAGAGGAAGAGGAAAAGAAAGAGAGATTTTTCACATTATCTAGTCAGTGTTAAAAATAGAAATTCACCCGTTACATTTACTCTGCACTTTTTGATTATATACATTTATGTACATGGATTTATCTTAATTATTTGTCATTGTCCTTTATGTCTTTATCAACAGTTTACAAAAGAAAGAAAGTTGCAATCAAATGCATATACTCTTCTAGAAAGATGTGCTTAGTTACTTTTAGTTGAAGCAGAGGGGATGTTTAGAGGAACTTTGCATTGCTTTGCACACTGCATTCAAACCTCCAAATAGATCGTTTTTAGTGCAGTGTGCAGAATAACACTGTCCCTGCTCATTGCATGCACTCAGCTCCATCTCATACTGCAAAGGTCAGACATTATGCTCTCACTTACTAGCTTTTGAAATGACAACAACTCCATTTGGAAAGGATCAGGATTTGGAAAAGCGTGCTCCATTGATCACCGTCCTCTTGATTAAGACGTCACTTCCCAAGTTTGAGTGTCTTGTTCTGAAAGTGACTTCTGAGGAGGCTCAGGGATCAACAGCGCAGGCTTTCACACATCCTGACCTCCCTTTTTTAGAGGATCTGCGAGCTGCATATCCGCAGAATTAGCAGCTAGTGCTCAGATCAGAGGAGTGGAGCGAGGTCTGCGTCATGTTGCATAATCAAGTTCAGCCCAGAGCTGGAGAACAGCCTTTAAGACACGGACACCCCGGGTGAGCGGTTCAGTTCTGTTCCAACTGCCTACATCTGGTCAAAATGTGCTAATTGAGAACTATATCAGGAAGGGTTAAGACAGTAACAGGAGATTCTCTGTTAGACTTTGTAGGGGTTTCGTTTTTTGAGGCTTGAACTGGTTTGAAAGAGAATGGACCCCCACCCTGGTAGAAATGCTAGTGAGGAGAGCGCTAAGTTTCCCCTGTGGTTTAAATCTCCGGCACCACGGACCCTGCAGCCCGACACAGTGCCTGGTTCCTCTCAGAACCACTGACAGACGGCGGCCGTGTTGGCTCCATGTCCTGCTGCTCCTGTGAGGTCATGAAACCAGTGCAAATGGAGTAGACTTTCAGCAGGATTTCATGGGACAACTGTTCTATTCTTTTCAAAATGTCCTCCAAAAAACATGTTACAAATGAGACTCTGCTGCTATACTTTATACAAGACCACATTGTCCATAATAAGCCTTGTGTGCATCATTCTGTGATTTTCTCTATCGAGCACCCTCTTTCCTTTGTGCAAAAAACAAGTATACTTCCTAACCCTAACCCTAACCCTTGACTGTCTGTCCCAGTGTTGGACAGTTAGCTCGCAGCAAGAGTCTGTTTACACTGTAATTGTGTCTCTAATTAAAATGTGAATTTGAAAAGTTCCAATACCAAGCTTTTTAATTTCGAGGAGTCCATACGCTTCAAAACAAGTAATAGAATGTCTTTTCTCCACACAAAGTAATGAAAGAAACGAGCCAGCAGTGCAAATATCCGTCCTTTAGACAGGATGTTGATAAACGGCGTCTCAGTTTATCTGTCAGTGGTTCTGGTGTCGCCCTTTACAGATTGACTTCAGTTATTAAGGCTCGACGGGCAGGAGGTAAAAAGAAGTGCCCGGAACACACACTCGTAAAAATCTTAAATTCTGATTCTGTGTTTGTCTCGAAACATGCACACACTCACACACACACACACACACACACACACACACACGAAAACACACACTCACAAAAGCTCCCCTATTCCCTGCGCGAGAGTTCTACTTGTAATCTCAAACTACTGGTGTCTCCTCCGTCTTCTTCACAGCCAAAAACACAACATTTTATTTTTTTAAAAAGGATGCCATTTTGTTAAGAACCTGGCAAAGAAGGAGAAACAGAAAGAGAATTGAAGGCCTTATTTCATAAGACGACAGCAACAACGACGCATAAAAAGCAAAATACTGTTATCGAAGAACAATCAGGGAGGTGTGTGCGGGGAGAACACGCAATAACAATAACTTGATTGATACAATAAAAACAAAATTCATCTTTATAAAGTTCACAGTCTTGTAGCTCCCTGTACCTGGGGAGGGGGGGTCGTGGGGAGGGAGGGTGACGGGACAAAATAGTACTTTTAGATGTTTGTGAGACGTCACTTCAGCTGCTCCTCACAAGCACATACACACGATCAAATATGTGAGGGGAGCGTCTACTTTCCGAACTGGAGCAGGAACTAAAATGGTCTTTTGCACATGTTCTGCTGCATCGGGAAAACTGTGAAATGTCTGCAAATAAAGCCGATGTTTTAGATTGAGACACAATGTTGCCTGTTAGGTCAATTATTACGGCACACAGTTCGTTCCTGGGTTCTTTAAGAGAGCATAGCGATGTTTGGGAATTGAATTTTGAACACTTTTTTTCATCTCAAATGTATTTTTAACACTGATAGAGGGTCACACAATTGTTCGATCAGAAAGCTCCTGATGAAGATAAATATTTGTACCTCAAAATAAATGTAGTTTCTTAAAACGTTCCTGTGGTTGGAAGGGGATAATTCATTCATTTTTTTCTTACTGACATTTGTTTTAAAAAAAATCATAAAATATCAAATTCCAGCTTTCACAACTTCCCGACTTCCCGATATGTTCAGAGTTCATATTGTTCAGGCAGCTGAAGTGACATCGCTCTGCTTTCAGTTCACACTCTACTCCTCCTCCTCTCCTTCGGATGGATGCTGTTGTATGACCTTCAGAGGAGATGGAGGATGCTGGGGAGTGTTGGGTGGACGGTGATGATGATGAAGATGTGTTGAAACACACATATTATTAAAACTAAACCTCCAACACACACACACACACACACACACACACACACACACACACACACACACACACACACACACACACACACACACACACACACACACACACACACACACACACACACACACACACACACACACACACACACACACACACACACACACACACACACACACACACACACACACACACACACACACACACACACACACACACACACACACACACATTCCTGATATTCCTGTGATTCCATGATGATGATGAGGAGGAGGAGGAAGAGGAGGAAGGAGAGGAGGAGGTACTGTGTCTCTTTTTCTCTGCTGATAAAAATCCTGATGTAGGCTCCAGCAGAGGTGAAGTTTTTTTAGCCTTAGTTTGGAGGGGGGTCTCTGGTACAAGATGTGCTGTGAGGGGGGGGGGGGGGGGTTAGGGTGAGGGAGGGGGGGTCAGAGTTCACATCATGACGTGGCGGCGGCGGTGCAGGGACAGGTGGTCCGAGCGGGAGAAGGAGCGGTCGCACTCGGTGCAGCGGAACGGTTTGATGCCCGTGTGTTTGCGGAAATGTCGGGTGAGCTCGTCGGAGCGGGCGAAGCGCCAGGTGCAGCCCTCCCAGGTGCAGTGGTAGGGTTTCTCTCCTGGGGGGGGGGGGGGGGAGACAAGGAGACAAGGAGTTAGGAGAGATGACAGGAAGGGAGGCGGTAAGAAAAAGATGGGAGGCGAGAAGAGTGTTTGGATTCTGGACGGATCTACCAGAGAAAAAGTCATGTTATCCTGCTTCAGTTAGGTTTGAACTACATTTCCCAGAATTCCCAGCCCAGGTAAAATGTCTCTCTGCCTCTTTTGTAAAGATCTTTTACTGTAAGATTATTCATTGTAAGAATAAGAACAAATAACACTAAACAAAAAGCATTTAGCCTGCTCAACTTTTTATTTCCGGCTCTCTTCACCTTTTAAAAATTATTTTGCAATTGTTATGTCTAATAATTATCAAGCTTTTCACAGAACTACCAGTTACCTGAATAAGATAAAACAGCAACACCATTTTGTAGCATTTTCTTTAGGAGAGCAAATAACATTTTAGCTTTTGGACTGGTGGACCTTTTAAGGGTTCAACTCTTCGTAGATACATGACAATTAATATACCAGCAGAAAAATGCTCACTCTTTGATTGAAGTTTAGCTCATTTGAAACTAATCCATCGGCACTTACAATAGTTAGGCTTTTTGAACCAAATGTAGCTGCAGGTTTTGTGATGTTTTGAGTTTACAACACTTCAGCATCAGCTAAATATAATATAATGTAACCGGCAGTGATGTTCTTTTTAGGGGTGAACGGCTCCTTTAAACCTGGACAGATGTTGCTTCTCTGCTCAGCTCTCACCTGTGTGTATCCTCCGGTGGGCTTTGAGGTGGGAGCTCTTGGTGTAAACTTTTTGGCAGCCTTCATAATCACACATGTGGATCCGCCTCCTCTTGACGTCCGGAGAGTCTGGGTCCACGGGCTCCAGGTCCATCACCGACCTGAGGGGGGAACGGGAGGCAGTGAGGCTGAGTTAAACAATTCAAACATTATCCATAGCCATATCATGAAAGCAGGTTTATTTCAACGTTATGTTTGTGCCACAGGGGGGCGACAGAGACATACTATTTCCCACACAGCTTCCACCTCACTGCGTCTCCTTTTCCCTTCATATCTTAACTCCTTCTCTCCTCATACCAACGAAAGAGAGAATGAAACTACATACACCCCCCCATATTCTCCCTCTTAGATTCAATCTAAATTATGTTGTCATTGATAACATTGTTTGTACTGTGATCTTCCGATTTAATTATGATATTCATTCAAAAACCATGATGTAGGTAAAACTGTATTGAAAGAAAAACCTTCTCTGTTTCTCACTTGCCATTACACACACACACACACACACACACACACACACACACACACACACACACACACACACACACACACACACACACACACACACACACACACACACACACACACACACACACACACACACACACACACACACACACACACACACACACACACACACACACACACACACACACACACACACACACACACACACACACACACACACACACACACACACACACACACAAGATTAAAGCACTAAGCTAACCGTCTGCGTCCACACCCTGGATTTCAGTTACAGTCAGCAGCCTCGCCCACTGGGTGTGGCAGGAGCTCTGATTTACTAACCAACACCCTGGACACCCTGGACACACACACAGTGTTGCTGTTTTGCGTGCCTCTACACTGGCACAGTAACCTTCACTCTGCAGCCTTGAGTTAACAACCTTTCAAAATGCCACACTTCACTGGAGAAGAACAAAAAGTCCTCAATTTGTACTGAGCATGCAAACATGACACACACACACACACAGAGACACACACACTGATACATCCAGGGCGTCTCCGTGTGTTCTGCTGAATACAGAGGGTTACATAAGGTTATATAAGTGTCCAGCCAGGCAGCGCCGCAGTAATGTAATTACTCTGCAGGGGAGGAAGGTGATCCACACAAAGACCACATTTCCCAGAAACCCCGCTGCGCATTTACTCTCTCTCTCGCTGGCCCTGTCAACTCCCATCATGGACTTTGAACTGAGATGACATCATGCATGGTTTGTTGTATTTATGTCCTGTCAACAGCGGCAGACATCTCGTTTATAATGGACCTTAGCTGTAGCAGA